AGGGAAAGACCCAAACATGAAAGTTAGGAAATGGCACAGGAAAATGATTTAATATTGGGATTTCTTTACATATAAGAATTTAACAGCATGCCAAAAAGCAATGCATCAGACAGTGACACTACACCCCAGAAAAGCAATCATGACATAATCAATATTGCAACAATATACCCAACAAAAATACATGGGTAGGTACCACCTATGTATGCATAAAAAAGAGCAGTGGTCCGTGGATATAGGAAAGAAAAAATCCAAGAATATTGAATTCCCATGCCTAATATAAAACATTTGAAAACGACACTGTTGAACTTCAAAAACTAGTTAAAAAGGCTTACAATTAGACCAACAGAGTGCCACAATGTAGTTCCACTGGTGCTAGTATAAACATAATCTTCATGCTCAGTCTCCCAAACTTGGTGCTCCACAGCTGCAAAAGCCAAAAGTCGAGAATCGTGCAAATTTAAAGGATTACTAGAGGTTGCCCAGTCATCACTGCCCAGTATGCAGAAGCATATGTTAAATCATAGAACAAGCAACACTAATGATATAGGAAGAGGAAGACACAACAGCATAGTTCAATCACAGATCTACAGTACACAGGACAGATAATGATAGTTTGCCTTTGACAAGAGGTATTCATAATTTTCATTCTTCAAGAGTATAAACTTCAGAAATAGGAAATGGATAGACTACTAGCATAAAAGGGAAGAATACCAGTTAACCAATAAATAACTTAGACACACCTACCGCCCCCCCCCCCCCCCCAACAAATTCTCCATTCTTCCCATCAATGCTCTTGTACATTTAGTCTTGCTCAATATAATGAAGTTTAGAACTAAAACAAATTACAAATAAGAAAGAGCGAAATTGCCCCCATATCCACATATGGATGAACATGCACGTGTACATAGATTCGTGCTTATGTTGAAAAGAATAAAACATGTAAAAGACATAAAGTCAACGGCTAAAAGGTGTAATTACCTGATATCAATTGAAGTATCTCCAGGATGATAGACAGGTGATGTTGCAGTATAACCAGGTTTGAATGGCTGTAGGTCAAGTAAATTATTCTTTGAGAAACTATAACTTAATCTAAGCAACTGATAAGTGCAATATCTTAGCCATTTTCCCCATCTTATCAACCTTTGGTACTTAAAACCCATTCATCTCTCTTTTACCTCATTACTTACTGCCATTTTTTGTGGGGTTGACTTATGCCCTAAACCCAAATTCTAAGAAATTTATTGGGTACACATAATCCTGGCATCAGCACAACAAACTTCTAACAAGGAAAGAAAGAATGCACTGGCAACTTTGCTTTATACATCCCTCAATGGTAGGCAGGCACTGATTCCCAAAACCAATCATCAACAAGGCATAACAAAAATTCGTAAATAGGTACTCTAATTAATCAATAATGTCAAGCCTATCAGGAATTCAGGGTTTTCCCACAACGTCTAAAATCAGAGATAACTAGAAAAAGTAACCATTAAATAATCTGTAAGTCAAATTATCAATATGCCGGGTGCTCCCAAAATGCTCCTATTCCATACACAGCCACAAGAAAATCAGCACAGAACTCCTTAAAATAGAGAATGCCTATTGCCTAAATCCAATTAAAACCATATGCTTAGCACTAGATAGTTCAACGAGTCACCTGATGGCAGATCTCACAAATTGTATCACCCTTCTCGTAGCACCATAGTTGAACACACTTCGTATGAGCAAACTGGTATAAAAAGAAACCCCTATTATTGCAATTTTCAAATTGGGCAGAGTTTACAATGATGAGAAGGATCCCGGAGCTCAAGCAATAGTCAAGTGAGCAACATTAATAAATCCAAAATACTTTATACATTGCTGCTTCATTGTACTAGTCATAAGAAAAGGGTTTAATCACCCTTTACCTTTTAGTTCCTATAGTTGAAAACATTCAATTTTAGTCCATGTATGTACCATTTTGTTCTCTTATAATCCTTGTTGTCTAATTCTATGATGACTAAAAGGTAAAATTGATCGAATTATAAGGATTAGAAGGGAAGAAAGATGGTATGTACAAAGAATAAAATAAGCTATTTTTAATTATAAGGACTAAGTAAAGTTTGTAAAACTATAGAGAACAAAAGAGTAATTAAACCTGAGAAAAGTATTTGTACTAGACACATCAATAATATGCAATTCACAATTTCTTATACACACAATAACTGCTAGGAACCTAAGAAATATGAAGCATTAAAGGAAACCCTTTTATTGCAAACATCACACTGCTGACTAGCACCATAGAAAGCAACCATCCAGAAAACAATACACATGGACATAGGAAAGTTTGGCATAAAAAATACCTTTAAAGATCCACTGCAAGCACAGGGTGTGTCCAAATTTTGAAGGGTATCCTCCTCCTGGCAAATGCGACACTCCACCATTTGGATAAGGTCTTCTTCTTCTTCATCTTCTTTCAGTGTATCACATTCCCCAACATCATTACCATGAGTAGCACCCTCAATGAGTGTTCCTTGAGCATTTGCAGGTGCTATGAGAAGAGGGTCAACAACAGATAAAACCACGTGCTCCCCCATTGTAGATTCTGAAACAAAAGAACCCATTATTGCATTATTTATTTATTTATTTTCTGATGAGCGAAAATGGAAGGTCATTCATTAATTTGTGAACTTTATACTTCAAACACGAAAAGCTAGAGCTAAATCAGAACAGCCATCGGGCAAGAAATCGGGAAAATGAGAATGAGATTGATGTAAAATTTGGGAATTTTCTAAATTTATGAAAAAAATGAATAAATTACCTGAAAATGGTTGTTGGTGAGAAAAGTGTAGTGGCGAAGCGGTGAAGTAAGAAAAGCGATGCCACAGTGATCTTCAGTATTTTAACACAGATATTACTTGCAAATTGAAATTTCTATTAGTCAAATATAACTTTGACTCAGATCAAAAAAGTTCTAAAAACATCAAATTGATCTTCAGTATTTTAAAGTAGATTTTCAGTACCAAACTAAAAGCCTTGGTTAAAATACGAGCTTATAGCAAATTCTTTTTTTTGATTTATTAGAATTTGAACTTAAACCAAGTGAATACATGTTTCATAACTTGAAAAGGCGCCTCGGTGGGTTAAGGAGGGAGAGTGTTTATAAACTACCCTTAGCCTCGACTCCTAAGCGATGTGGAACTTTTTAAGCATACCGGAACAAGCCTCCCAGTCGATGCTAAGGGGCAAGAGTGGCCTAAGCCCTCCTTCTAGCGCCAATGTTCCTACCGTAAGTCCGCTGTCATCGTTAGGGTCACCGCATCCGAGGTATTGTCCGCTTTGGCACTCGTTGGGCCGTTACGGTTTTGTCCTTGAAAAGGCGCCTCGGTGGGTTAAGGAGGGAGGGTGTTTATAAACTACCCTTAGCCTCGACTCCTAAGCGATGTGGAACTTTTTAAGCATACCGGAACAAGCCTCCCAGTCGATGCTAAGGGGCAAGAGTGGCCTAAGCCCTCCTTCTAGCGCCAATGTTCCTACCGTAAGTCCGTTGTCATCGTTAGGGTCACCGCATCCGAGGTATTGTCCGCTTTGGCACTCGTTGGGCCGTCATGGTTTTGTCCTTGAAAAGGCGCCTCGGTGGGTTAAGGAGGGAGGGTGTTTATAAACTACCCTTAGCCTCGACTCCTAAGCAATGTGGGACTTTTTAGGCATACCGGAACAATTATAATTATTAAATATAATTAAATTATACTTTTAATTTTTTATTTTATTTTTAAAATTTATTTTAATTTTTTATTTAAGCTAAAACTTAATTTGGTCCCTTATTATAATTGTTTGTTTCAATTTAGTCTCACTTTAATTTTTGGTCTCAATTTGATCCCTAATAAATTAAATTGTTGCAATGTCAGACTTCCGTCCAAATTAGTTTAACGAGGTTAACTCCTGACGACGTGGATGCCACTTGGATGCATACGTGCACGCCACTTGAATGCGTACGTGGACATCACTTGGATGCGTACTTGGATGCCTTCCTCTTTTCTTCTTCTTTATGTTTTTGTGGATGGGTATCTTTTCATTATTCTCATCTGAAGGTTCTTATTATCTGCCCCCACTTCCTCTTCTTGTTTTTCTTCTTGTTCTTCTTTTTGTTGTTGTTGTTGTTCTTCTTCTTCTTGTTGACAAATTAGTTTTGGGTGGTTGGGACGAATCACGAGCGTGGGTATTTATAGGAGGAAGCTAGGGTTTTGGGTGGCTGGGACAAATCACAGGCGTGGGTGAGATTCACAGTTGTGATTGTCGCAGTGATTCGTATCATGGTTTTAATGTAACTGACGTCGTGTCAATCACGGGCGTGATTGTGAAGCACGACCGTGATTCTCGTACTGATGGTGTTTTTTTTCTGACTGATAGTAGAGGGAATCACGGGCGTGATTGTAAATCACGGCCGTGATTATGACAGGTTGGACTTAAGATGTTTTTTATTCGGACTAATAACAAAGGGAATCACGGGCGTGATTGTAAATCACGGTCGTGATTCTCACGGGTTGGACTTAAGATGTTTGTTAATCTGACTAATAACATAGGGAATCACGGCCGTGATTCTCACGGATTGAACTTAAGATGTTTGTGATTCTCACGGGTTGGACTTAAGATGTTTCTTTACTAACGACTTGGACTTAGTTAATAGTGTCATTTACCACACTTAGTTAGTAGTGTCATTTACCATAGTTAGTTAATAGTGTCATTTACCACATTTTGTCATATTATTTGCGATTCTCTTATTCTTGCATTTGTAAAAACTATATAAATCAAACAATGATCATAAAAATAGCGTATAGCATTTGTTGAAATATAAGTAGCCAACTATTGTAAATCACAATTATAATAGTCTCTTACATTAAATATTTTCATATCATTAGCAATTAATATTGTCATGCAAAACATTATCTTAAAAGTCTGCTACATCATAAATCACCAATACAGTCTAAACACGAAATATTGTCTATAAACCCTAAAAGCAACAAACAACAATCTTCAACTTTGTCATGGTTTCCAGTGTGGTCGTGCTTTCCTAGGCTTCACCTTCTCCCTGATAGGTTCAAAGGGTTGGGTGGGCTTAGATGGTTGTGTGGGTTGACATGACTAGGTGGGCTCAGATGGTTGGGTGGGTTGAGATAGTTGGGTGGGCTCAGATGGTTGTGTGGGTTGACATGACTAGGTGGGCTCAGATGGTTGGGTGAGTTGAGATAGCTGGGTGGGCTCAGATGGTTGGGTGGGTTGATGTGTTTCATTTGGTATTGGTGTATCACTTGGGCTTTCCTTACAGGTTGATTTGTTATGGCCAAAACTCTTGCACTTACTACACTTTCTCCTACATCCCCTCCTTCTCAATTGAATGTCATCCTTCTTCACTTCCCATGGCTCCAAATTTTTTCTTTTCTTAGGGCGTCCTGGCATTTTCTTACATGGCTATGGAAGAATATTAGGGCACTATGTCTTGGTCTAGAGTTGCTGGCCATTTACTGAATATATCATTGATTGATATACAACTTCATATGTTGCCCTCTTGTAATATTCTGGCACAAAATCCTTTGGATCCAAATTCATATACCTTATACATGATATAGCATGGCAGCAGGGCAACCCAGTCAACATCCATTTTCTACAACTGTATTCCTGCAGTTGCAAGTTGATAGTATATTTATCTCCTATCAAGTTGACATTTCTGACCTCAAAAGCTTGTTCTTCAGCCCAACTGAAAATAATATGTTAACTCATTATAAACCAATAATGGGTTAATTTAAACAATTCAAACCATGTGAAATATACCTTGGTATCCACCATTTGCTGAAATTACTTTCCTTTTCAATCTTCTTAAGTATTTTAGGAACAATATCTCCTTGATGTAATGTAATGTTTTTCCTATTTTTAGCCCATTTGTTCATCAAGTACAATCGGATGTCTTCTAACATGGTAATAATAGGTTTTTCTCTAGCATCAACAATGACTGAGTTAAAAGCCTCACTCATGTTGTTAACCAAAACATCACATTTGGGATTTGGCTTAAACCTTGACTTGCTCCAATACCTGAAAGCAATAAAATATAAACAATTATTTGAATAAAGGCATAAACTATAAGTTATGAAACAAAGCATACCTAGGGGGAATTTGAATTAAATGTTTGAATGCTTCAACATCCACTTTTTAATCTCATGCATTTCTCTTTCCCATGCTACAGGATATGTGGTTATAGTTGCCGTCCACATCAATTCCTTTAATTTTTTCCTAGGAAACTTTTTCCTAATATTATTGTAAAGGTGTCTAACACAAAACCTTTGATCTACACCGGGCAACAATTCATTGATTACTGGCAGCAACCCCTACATAATCAATATTACACACAGAATCAATCAATATACTCATTCTCAATTATAAATTTTAAAAATTTAAAATTTTACCTTTTGTTGATCAGAAATGAATGTGTAATTGACACAAGCTGAAAATCCTCCAAGATCATAAATTAGGAGGTGTAAAAACCACTCCCATGAGTCTCTACTCTCGCCTTCAACAACTGCAAAACATATTGGTAGCATTTGCTCAAAACACAATTCATACCCCAGGTCCACTCTTACCCGTAGCCCTAAATTCACCCCAAAAAGACCCTTTAATCAAACGTGAAACAAAAAAAACAAAAAACCCTAAAGTAAATACTTACCTGATTAGAACAACACACAAACATGGCTTCTTCTTCTTCAAATCAATCACCAATGCATGCGCCTTCTTCTTCTTCAAATACCTAAGAACAACTTTATCTTCTATGAACCAATGGATCAGAGTTCTCTCTTCTCTCTTATCTCTTCTCTCTCGCGATTTTGGGAAGCAAAATCCCTTCTTTCACGTTGGAAATCCACGTCTCCATTAAATAAAATTATGACATCTTAATTTTTTTCCACGTGAAAAATGCCCAAACGACGTTAAACAAATTTGGACAGAAGTCCGACATTACAACAATTTAATTTATTAGGGACCAAATTGAGACAAAAAATTAAAGTGGGACTAAATTGAAACAAACAATTATAATAAGGGACCAAATTAGGTTTTTAGCCTTGAATTTATTAAAATGTTCATTTTCAATTTTAAAACATAATTTTTTAATAATTTTTAGTTAGTTCAAGATATAAAACTTATAAGATTAGATTTATTTATATAAAAATTATAAAATTGAATTAATATTTAAATCCAAAATCATTATAAACATATTAAAAATTATGTAAAAAACTTATGTTTTAAACATAATTAACATCCAATTTAAAATATTCATTATGTTTTTACCTGTGAACATCCAATTTGTTCATGACCAAAATAAAATCATTACATCTAAATTATGTTTAAAAAATTAAATTATTAAACATTTTTCAACACTATTATAAATAGTATAGAATGATTTAATTTTTCATTTTATTTTATTTTTAGCACATAATTAACTTTTTTTTTTAAAAGTAAATTTTGTGTTAGTCCAATTAAAAAAAGTTTATAAGTTTATTGGAAGGTATGTTTGGTTTCACTTTTATTATGTTTGAAATTAATTTCATTGCATAAAAAATAATCAAAATTATGTTTGTTGCATGATTGACTATTAGTCAAATTAATTTCAAGATGTTGAAATTTACATCCACTTCGAAGCACTATAATTATATACTCAAAATTAATTTTGATAATAAGTTTTAAACAACATTCAATATGAAAACTAAGTTCATATTATTTGTCATAAAAAAAATTATGATACTTTTGATTAACATTTACTTAAAATTAATTCTACAAATTCACGTCGATTTTAAATAAATTATATCCATGCATATTCAAACAAACACCAAATTCATGTTATACATTTTTGGGATTATGTTTAGGAAAACTTATGAAAATATTAGATATATTTAAAGAAATTAAAAGGTTGGAGAGGCTAGTACTTAAATTGAATTGTTGGTGATCCTACTTCGACT